CATGAAAGTTGATTAAATGACTTCACACAAAAGCATATAACATAAGAAAATATTATGGAATCTCACTTTTGTCAATCCACTGGTATTATAAAGAATATTAATATGAAATACTTACACCCAAGAAATCGGCTTTCAGCCATGGAGAAAATGAGGAGAAGAGAGAGCATCAAAATTGAGCTGAGAAACAAGGCTGACTTGTGGTTTGCCATTTCAATGTTTTTCTTTCTTTTCCTTTTCTCCCCCTCTCCAATGGTGGATTGTATTTGCAGTGAGATATGACTTCCCATATGCCTCATATTTATTGTACAATGTGCATTGATGAAGCCAAGAACAAACCAAAAATCATTGTTATGTTAGTTTAACCAAAAATCATTGTTATGTTAGTTTCGTCCAAGGGGCCGGCTGTAATCTATAAAATAAGCATGTGTCCTCTTACTCTTTGTTCTTTGGATATCTCGCACCAAATATGACCGATGTAGTAACGATCACATAGATATAATGGATTTTTTAAAAATAATAATAATAATGTTCCCAAGCTTATATAATAATAATAATCAAATGTATTAATTAAAAAAATCATTTAGGAGATCACCCTAAAAAATCTTGTATTCCTCCTGATAGTTGTTGGAACCGGTTTTTCAGTGTTGCTCATGATTACTAGTTGTTAGGTTAATTTATGGGTTATAAGTTAATTTAAATTAATTTTTTTTTGTATTTTTAAAAGTATTATAGTGTTGCTCAAGTTGGGTTAGGTCAATTTGATCAAATCAATATATTTTGGAATTTAAATTAAAATCTAACCTATATCAATTTAAATTTTAAATAATATATTTTTAAGATCAACTAAACAAATTAAAAACGAATTCAATAACTATATTTCCCTTCATCATAAAAATGTTTATATTCCTCACCATAATAATGATGATTACATCAATAGAACATTAGTTTTCGATTATAAGTATGTCAAGTGCTACTTCTTACTTAGTAAAGTATATGTAATAGCGATTAAAAATCCTTAACTTGAGTTTAAATACATAGACAATATTAAAGAATTAATATAAATTTATTTTTAATTTCTCATTTAGTAGTTTAAATATTTAGCTTAAATTAATTTTTTTTAGTATAATTATAAAAAATGAAGATGGATTGACACATATACTAAAAAAGCCTAGAAATGAAAAATGAAATATTAAGTCTTATTTTACTATGATTTTCAAAAAATAAAAATAAATCGAGGGTTTCTTTATTTCTCTTATTTTTTAACCAACCGGTACTGAATTTCATAATTTATTTTGATTTATTTTCTATAAATTTATTTTAGTTTCATGACTCAAATCTCGAGTCTTGTTAGTTAACTATATTGATTCGAATTATTATTATAACTTTTTTTCTCAACCTTATCCTTTATAATTGATCTAATTATTAGACTTTATAATTATTTTTTAATTTTTTTATGAAATTATCATAATTCCATGATCTATATCATAGATTTCATGAGTTAGCTAGATTGATTTGGGATTTTTTTTATTTTTTTTTAATAGGACATTTTTTTTTTCAAATTGGATTTATTAAAAAATTAACTTTATAATTTTTTTAATTTACTTTATATAAAATTATCAAAGTCTTCTGACCTAGTTTTTGCAGGTTAATTTTGGTTTACTTAAGCCATTTTTTATTTGATTTGTTTTTAAATTTAATTATTTTACATTGGATTAATTGGTGATTGAGTTTAATAATTATTTTTTTTATTTTTTCTATTAAGTTATCACAATCTTATTTACCTCTTACTCCAGTTTTTTTAGATGATTTTTTTTCAATTCAATCCTTCAATAATATAGTTGATTAAAAATTAAGTTTCATAATTTATTTTAGTTTGTATTTTGTGAAGTTATTTTAATTTCATAACTAGGATCATGGTTTGGTCAATTGACTCAAGCTGACTCTGATAATTTTTTATTTTTTTAATTAATTTTTTTATTTCATCATTTAATATAGAGTTGATTGGGAGTTGAATTTTTTTTTAAATTTACTTTTTAAATATTTATCTAAGTCTTATAATTCATGTGTGATAGGTAAACTTGAGTTAATTCACCTCTTTTTTTAGTATAATTTTGTTTTTAATTTTATTATTTAATATTAAATTAATTAAAAATATAATTTAATAAAAAAATATTCATTTTTTATAGAGTTATTAACATCTCACCAAGTTGAATATTAAATAATTCTCACATTTATTTGTTCTGTGGGCAATTTGATTGCTGATCCTAGGAAGAAAGGCTTCCGCAAGAAATCTAGCAAAATCATATTTTGCTGAAATCTGAACATGTTGGGACAACATTCATAATTAATTTTGGCAAATCGCCACGGACTTTTTCCTGATTTATTTTCTGTATCTGATGAAAACAAGAAAGCAGAGTAAGTAGTCAGAACTGATCCCAATTTCCTTACAGAGATCCACTCAGAAAAGCATATTAAAAAGCAGATCTCTTAAGAACTTTGAACAATTGAAAAGATGGAGAAGGACTTCTCATAAGGTTAGTCACTTTTCTTGTCTGTCCCATTGTAGTTTGTTGTGCAAGATTCACAAAAGTCATTGAGCAATTACGTTGCACATCAAATTAATTAACATAGTTTCATTTCATTTTCTCTTTTCCTTTTTTCACTCTGCTTTAAATCAGATAGGTACAAAATGTAGTTGTCTTTGGATATCAGACATGGGAAAAAAGAAGTATAGATAACTAAAAGCTTTCTGGAATCAGATTTATCTTATTGCTGTTACTCATCTCCTGCATGTTGAGAAAATGACAATATGCATGCAAAGAGTGTGGTGATGGGTGAAGGACTTAAGAACAGTTTCGAAGCTGAACAGCATGCTTCACATTTCTATATCCTTTGATAATTTCTGCGTGCATCGAGCGTTTTGCTTAGATTTAGTTATGTTGAAACAAGATCTAACGAACATGGGATCTTGAAAACTGACAGAAACAATATAATTCCAAATTGATGTAGTTCGATCTGGCCTTCATATCTAATGTCTGGTTTACTTTTTTCCAGAAAAAAGAAATGGATAGCATTTTAGTCTTATTCATGTGAAGGAAGATTCTCATTCTTATTGCTGTTGCTCATCTCCTGCATGTTGAGAAAATGACAATATGCATGCAAAGAGTATGGTGATGGGTGAAGGACTTAAGAACAGTTTCCAAGCTGAACAGCATGCTTCACAATTCTATATCGTTTGATAATTTCTGTGTGCATCGAGCGTTTTGCTTAGATTTAGTTATGTTGAAACAAGATATAACGAACATGGGATCTTGACAACTGACAGAAACAATATAATTCAAAATTGATGTAGTTCGATCTGGCCTTCATATCTAATGTCTGGTTTACTTTTTTCCTGAAAAATGAAATGGAAAGCATTTTATTCTTATTCATGTGAAGGAAGATTCTCATACATTAATGAGAATCTTTCATATCTCAACATCCTTTTGGAATCACAAGATTGAAAAAAGGCTAAGTGATAATTGAAAGCGAAGCAAACAATCAGCCCTTCGGGGTAAAGGCAGTGCTTCTTGAACTAAATGGAGTCACCAATAACTCGGCAACTTAGACCGACCCTGCAACGCAGAGCCACTGTCCTACAAAGAGAGCATTGCAGTTGAGATTGGGGTTGATAGCATCAAAGGATGCAGCTGTCAAATTAAAGGACTGTGCAATGGCAAAACAAGTGTCTCCACTAGCTGCTCCAACCACTTCATCACATTCTGGGGTACTTTTGGCGGAGAAACCAGCAGCTGCTCATCAGACATTGTTTAACATTTGAAAGAAAATGAAGTCAATATATTTCATGAAAACATAAGTTAGTATTTAATGCTATCTAAAGTACTTACTGCCAAGAATGCGACTTTCAGCCATGGAGATAATGAGGAGAAAGGAGAGAACCAAGATTGAGCTCAAAACAAAGGCTGATATGATTGAAAAGATGGAGAAGGACTTCTCCGGTTTCCCTGGGCCATTTTAAGAAATGTGTGTTTTCCTTCCTCTCTAGTAGATACTCAGTTTATTCTTTTCAGTTTTGTGGGTTACAGACTCTCATGTCTAGCACTTCTATTTATACTACAATTTTCCATTGTTAATGATGAAACCAAGAAATAAATCCTAAATTCACTGTTGTTGTAGTTCTCACAAGGTGGCCGGCGCCGGCTTCTGTAAAATTTGCGATGCTTTTCTTGTGATTCTCTTAGTTTGACATGATTGTTTTTACTAAGCATCCAATGTTTAATATTCAAACAGCCCAAGCAGTGGACCTTGAAAGATCGTATCTCTCATAGAGTCTCAAGTGATGCTTTTGCGCTTGTTAGCGCGGCGCACCACGCTAATTAATGGGTTTAGCAACAGTTTGAACTATGTTTTTTAAAAGTTAATTTTTTTTGGTTAAAATTTAATATAATTTAATATTTTGAATTATGTTAATATGCTGATATTAAAAATAATTTTTAAAAAATAAAAAAATATTATTAACATGTATATAAAAATTTATTTAAAAAGCAAAAACTATTTCAAATCACTAGTTTAAATATAATTGTTAATTACTGTGATTGTGATAATTAAAGGTAATTCTAAAATATTCTTTATTATCAGTTTATAAGCCCAAGAGGTTAATGTTTCAAGCATTAAAGATTGAATTGAAACAACCAGGCGCTTGTGTTGGATCAGATCATGTCGAAACAACTAGCCCGATTTTTCAATTTGTTCATTTCTTTTACTCTAAGGGCATGGTTGATTGGCCAAGCGTTTGTGCACAAGACTAGCTAAATCCTTCGATTGAGTGTTATCTTTCAGATTGCATTGAATATGCTGCCTTATCTACTGCTTGTCACCAGGAATTCACCTCATCAATTCAGCTAGCCGACCTTTGAGAAATCCTTAAGGAATCAGGAATCCTTTTCTAACCAGGAAAAACATCTGTCAACCGATATTCTATGCCTATAAATCCACAAACAAAGAGTCATGTATTTCCACAAACCCTAGCTGCTAGATTCGCTGTCTTAATTACCTTCTTCGTTTTCTCACAAACCCTACTGCCCTTCTTTCTCTCCCAACTCAACCATGGACACTCACATCGATTACGACTTTATTGTCAGATTAAAACCCAAAACAAATAGAAACTCACAACACGTCAATTGTGACCAACCACTACAAAAGGTACCAGCAACGTTTCCTGTGAACTTCTTGCTTTACAAGCGACCGATCTACTACTCTCTTCATGGAGTGGCGTTCTCCGCAACAGATAGAAGACCCGAGTCCATAAGCCGCAAAATTATTCACATTCCGGTTGGAGATTCACTGTGTCATCACATCAATGATTTCAAAGGGATCTTGACCGACATCGGCATCCCTGGAATCAAGATATCACAGATACTAATCGAAATTGCAACCAAGGCGCACGGCATTGATACTTGTAACGGCGTGCTCATGCTTGTCGCAATACGGAAGACAGTCTATCATGAAGCTAGACTTCGTAATGAAGAAGATGATATTGGTAGAGCTGAGAGGGAGTCAATGGAGGTTGAGGCGAAGCCAATCCCGGCCACCAAGTCCTCTATTGATGCATTGGAAAGGGTGGTTTTGGACGCCTCGGCGTCAGCGAGAGACTGCACTGTTTGTATGGAAGATATTGACGCAGGGAGTGAAGCAATTCGGATGCCGTGCTCGCATGTCTATCACTCAGATTGCATTGTTAAGTGGTTGCAAACTAGTCACATGTGTCCTCTTTGCCGCTATCATATGCCCTGTGAATACTTGTGAACATGATCATCAGCACCAACTAGCTTTTCTGTGTCCTGTTTAGGTTTTAGCCAACTCTAAAATGCTAAGGATTGGATTGTTTGTATACCGCTTATGTTTGAAACAATTTAATCAGTTATTAAGCTTTGATTTCATCAGCTTTTTTCTTTTCTTTTCTTAATTATAGCTATAATTAAAATTCTCGATCTTTCAATCTTTATCCTTGTTTTCTTTTAAAATTAAAAAAAACTATAATTGCTAAGATTTTTTTTATTACTGTATGCCAAATATAAATCATTATGGATCCGAATAGTAAAATAACAATATTCTTCTCTTAGAAAACAAATTATTAAGACTTTTAATGGAGTAATATGGTCTTTTCCTGTGATCCCAAAGCCGTTGTCAAATTGATTGGAGAGAGGATGATCTTTTCAATATTTTTAAAACACGGGTAAATCAATGAATTACCCCTAAATTCAATTTTTTAAATAGATATTTATAAGTTTTTTTTGCATTTTCATTATTTAAATTACAGTAAAATAATTTAATTACTTTTAAAATATAAATCTTTTGAACTAGCATCTAGGGTTGTTTTCAAATTTTAATTCTAATTTTTTAGTTATAATTAAGTTGAATAATAGATAACTTGATATTTTAATAAATATAAAATATTATTTAAAAATAAAAAGTGTTTATCACAAACAATGAATGTGGGATACCCCTGCACCATTTGGACGATGAGTGAGGGATCGTGTGGTGACCAAACATTGATTTTTATTGAGGGTTTTAATCATCTCGGTTACCTTTTTATCTTTTAACAATACGTGTAACCAATGGAACTTCGGTTGGCACTGACAACATTTTTTTTTCTTTTTAATTTTCGCATTAGAATTTCCAAATTTTCAAAGCAACCTTTCAATTTGATTTTTTTTTTAATTTTGATTTTTTTTATTATTTATTTTAATTGAAATAATTTACAAATTAAAATCTTTTTTCAGTTTCAACCTTTTTTATTTTTATATCAAATTTGATTTTTATTTTTTATTGTTATTTATTTTATTTAAGATGGTTCTTAAAATTGAATTTTTCTTCCAATTTTATTATCCTTCATTTTTTCCTTATCATATTTGATTTTTATTTTTCTTATTATTGTTTTTTCACTTTGATAATTTTTTTAATTGATTTTTTATTTCATCATTCTACATTAAATTTATTTTTATAGAATTTTTCATTACTTCTAAAGATGACATGAGTTATCTTGATTTTTTTATTTATTGTTATTTATTAAATTTAGCTTTTAAAAATAAAATTTGCATGGGGAGAGGGTTGAAGGTGTTCCTTTTCAAGCACGGGGAGATAATTTTTTTCTGTTTATCAGCTTCCTTGTGGGGAGATTTATTACTCTTGATACTTCCCGGTACAAGAAGCTAAAGTTTGGTGCAGGCAGGATTTTATTAGTTACTTCGTTAATGGAGTTTATTGCCAGAACTGTAAGTGTTGATATAGAGGGTTCAGTCTATTCTATAAAAAAAACAAAAGAACCTTGCCCAGAAGTTAATCGAAGCTGGGTGGATAAGAAAAAACCTAAAGAGAAGTAAGCAAGAAAAGATGTTTCTTCTTCTTCTTCTAAGAGATCTCAAAGCTTGAATGAGAAGTTTCCCAGTCCTATGGAAGATTGTGTTAATTGGATTTATGGAATGTGGTGATGAACCGAGGGATGCAAGTTTAAAAAGTGTTGGCGAAGATAGTACAGATGGATCTTGTGAAGGCCCAGATGATGTTCAGCTCGCCTATCCAGTACTGTTATGTATTAATCAAGAATGAGAAAAAAGGATGTTGAACTTGACTCAGAAAGTCAAGTGCGAGATGGGAGATTACCCGACAGTGGGTCTAAGGATGCAGGCCAGATACAGAGTCTAATGGTAGATCAAACCTATTTGTCATTGGTTCCTCTTATAACGAGAGGTGCTTCTCTTTCCACTCTTTCAGATCGGAAG